GGTGGGGACGGTGTTGGTGGGACAGTGGTGAGGGGACAGCGGGACAGTGGTGGGGACAGTGGGACAGTGGGACAGTAGAGGGCCGGTAGTGGTGGGGACAGTGGTGGGGACAATGGTGGGAACAGGGGGGACAGTGGACAGTGGTGGGGACGGTGGTGGTGGGGACAGTGGTGTGGGCACAGTGGGAATGAGGTGGAAACAATGGGACAGTGGAGGGTACAATGGTGGTGGGGACAGTGGTGAAGGCGGTGGCGAGGACGGCGGTGGGACAATGGGACAGAGGTACAGTGGGGACAGTGGTGGGGACAGTGGGGACAGTGGTGGGAACAGTGGGACAGCTCAGTGGGACAGCGGAGGAGTCAGTGGGACAGTGGGGACAGTGGGGATAGTCGGGCAGTGGTTGGGGCCGTGGAGACAGTGGGGAGAGTGGAACCGTGGTGGGAACAGTGGTGGGGACAGTGGGGACAGTGCGACAGTGGTGGGGGCACTGGTGGGGACACAGTGGGTGGTGAGGACAGTGGTGCTGGGAACAACAGTGGAGGATGTGATGCGGACGGTGGTAGGGACCGGGAGTCGTTTGCTGGCGGTGAGTGGGGGGGTGGGGAGGGGTTCGAACCGGTAGTGATCCCCCTCCGGTTTTCGAGGGGGGGGGAGGGGGGGGGGTTCGAACCGGTAGTGACCCCCCCGGTTTTCCGGATCCGGAGGGGGGTGGGGGGGGTTCGAACCGGTAGTGACCCCCCCCCCCGGTTTCGAGGGGGGGGGGGGGGAGGGGTTAGGGGAGGGGGGGGGGTTTTGCCGGGGGAGGGGGGGGGGGGGGGGGGGGGAGGGGTTCCAGCAAGGGGGGGGGGGGGGGATTTTCGGAGGGGGGGGGGGGGGGGCGGGTTCCGGAGGAAAAAGTTGGCAATTTTCCAGAGCAAAGCGGCGGTGGATCACGCTCTCTCGCATATTTGAAACTAGAACCACGCGCGCGCCCCAGGAATCGTTGTGAGAAGAAATTGGTGACGCGAAGCGTCGTGGGGGCGTCCTTGGACGTCTGGGGTCTCCTGGGGCCTCTTGAGGGGCCTCCTTGGGGCCTCCTGGCGGCCTCTTGGGGCGGAAGGCTCGAGCTTGCGGTTCGTGGTCCCCCTCTGGGCCCCCTCTTGGGCCCGTCTTGGGGCCCTCTTGGGCCATCTTGGGCGCCTCTTGGGCCGTCTTGGGGCCCTCTTGGGCTGTCCTGGGGCCCTCTTGGAAGCTTCTTGGGCCGTCTTGGGGCGGTCTTGGGCGCCTCTTGGGCCGTCCTGTAACGTCGGAAAGCCCAAAAGACAACTTTGTTGAAAATGTACGTTTTACGAAGGGAATGGGCCAATTTTTGCGTCTAGGGGCCCTCTTGGGACGCATGTTGGAGGCTTCTTGGGGCCTCTTGGGGGCGTCCTTGGACGTCTGGGGTCTCCTGGGGCCTCTTGAGGGGCCTCCTGGGGGCCTCCTGGCGGCCTCTTGGGGCGGAAGGCTCGAGCTTGCGGTTCGTGGTCCCCCTCTGGGCCCCCTCTTGGGCCCGTCTTGGGGCCCTCTTGGGCCATCTTGGGCGCCTCTTGGGCCGTCTTGGGGCCCTCTTGGGCTGTCCTGGGGCCCTCTGGGAAACTTCTTGGGCCGTCTTGGGGCGGTCTTGGGCGCCTCTTGGGCCGTCCTGTAACGTCGGAAAGCCCAAAAGGCGACTTTGTTGAAAATGTACGTTTTACGAAGGGAATGGGCCAATTCTTGCGTCTAGGGGCCCTCTTGGGACGCATGTTGGAGGCTTCTTGGAGCCTCTTGGGGGCGTCCTTGGACGTCTGGGGTCTCCTGGGGCCTCTTGAGGGGCCTCCTGGGGGCCTCCTGGCGGCCTCTTGGGGCGGAAGGCTCGAGCTTGCGGTTCGTGGTCCCCCTCTGGGCCCCCTCTTGGGCCCGTCTTGGGGCCCTCTTGGGCCATCTTGGGCGCCTCTTGGGCCGTCTTGGGGCCCTCTTGGGCTGTCCTGGGGCCCTCTTGGAAGCTTCTTGGGCCGTCTTGGGGCGGTCTTGGGCGCCTCTTGGGCCGTCCTGTAACGTCGGAAAGCCCAAAAGACAACTTTGTTGAAAATGTACGTTTTACGAAGGGAATGGGCCAATTTTTGCGTCTAGGGGCCCTCTTGGGACGCATGTTGGAGGCTTCTTGGGGCCTCTTGGGGGCGTCCTTGGACGTCTGGAGGCCATCTTCAGCATCTCGGAGCCCTCTTGGAGGCCTCTTGGAAGTTTCTTGGGCCGTCTTGGGCGCTTCTTGGGCCGTCTTGTCTGACTGGGGAGGCCTCCGGCAAGCCCCGACGAGCCTCCGGGCCCCCCGGGGCGCACATTTGTGGTCGAGGTCCCGGCCCCGGGCCCCCGGACCCGGTGCGCCGATATATGTATACACTTTTGAAACATCTTGTAGACATCTGGAAATTATTTGGCAGCATGCCTCCTCTCCATAGATCGTCCTCCACAGTCCCAGAGGCTTCAGAAAAAAAAACCGAAAGATCTGCACATGCATCCCAGAGGCCTCTGACCTACGACCCAGGCGCGGTGGTGGGACTGCCCAGGCCACTCGACAATCATGACTCCACCAACCCAACTGACGAGGCCCACCAAAAGAATAGCCGAAATACTTGAGCCGACCTAACTGAGCTACCTCAACAAGTAGAAACATCGGCTTAGCTAACTACGCGAACCTATCATGATGATTTTTTTTGTTGTTTCTGGTCGTCGCGCTTCTGTTGAATCGGTGCGGCTTCCGTAACTTCAGCTTTCGTCTGTTTGGATGGGACAGCCCTTCAAAGTGGAGCCTGCGCAAGTGGGATTACAAGATTGTGCCGCGTCGCCCAAATCGCGCGGATGCATTGGCGATGCGGCCCAATCCTCCGACCTCGTCCATCCCGGCCTGATTTGTGGCCAGGAGCGCGCCCCGCCCCACTCCGATCTCGTGATTTTCATGTCCGCCCGTGAGCCCCAAGGTTTGGCGGCGCGCAATTTGGGGGGAGGGGAGGCGGCTTCTGAGGAGCACCCTGCTTCTTAAAAGCCCTGGCCTTACGTCTATGAGGCCCGCTCCTTCTGAGAAGCAGGGGGTGCTTCTAAGAAGCCTTCCCCCCTCCCCCTGCCCCCCCTCTGCGCGTGGCTGAAAGCCCTCGACTGGCTCTCTGAAACCGATCTGGAAAAGCACGGGGACCGAGAATCTCAGTCCGCCCCAGGCCCATGCCCACCTGAGCGACGATCAAAAAGGGGTGTTACGCGGTGGCTTACGCGAGCCGCCAGCGCGGCACGCTATTTCTGAGACCAAGGCTTACGCGTGACCCCACGCTATTTCTGAGACCAAGGCTTACGCGTGACCCTACGCGGGCAACTTACGCGCCAATGTCGGCGCAGACCACCCCGTTTATTTTTTGCGTCGCCCACCTGAGAGGCAACGACAGGGGGGACTGGCATATTGGGGGATGCATCGACCCGGAATCGGCGGTACATCGCCGATGGATCGGCGATAGGCCTCCGACAGTGGATCCGCGCCTTCCTGGGCAGATCCGCGCGGAGCGCCAAAAGCTCATGTTTGTGGCCTCTTGTGTCTTCTTCTTCTTCTTCTTACTTCGTCTTCTTCTTCTCCTTCTTCTCCTCCTCCTTCTTCTTCTCCTCCCCTTCTCCTCCTCCTCCTCCTCCTCCCCCCTCCTCTCTCTCCTCCTCCTTCTCCTCCTGATCCTCCTCCTCCTCCTCCTCCTCCTCCTCCTCCCCCTCCTCCTCCTCCTCCTCCTCCTCCTCCTCCTCCTCCTCCTCCTCCTCCTCCTTCTCCTTCTTCTTCTCCTTCTCCTTCGAGCGAAGCAGAAGGCAAACACGGAAGTGCTCTGCCTGCCTGCCGGACCGTGTGCACACCTGCCGGCTGGGCCCTCCCCCCCCCTCCCGGCCGGCCCGGCCCGGGCGAGCGGCCCGGGGCCCGGGCCCCGCCTCGGACGGGACGTCCATGGGCGGCCGCGGCCCGGCTGCAGGGCGAGGGCGTCGCGCCTGGAGGAGTCAGAGAGGGGAAAATACACACAGACACAATGAAGCGTCGATTCCCTGGAAAATAGGGGCAAAGACGGGAAGTGGGGGGGAAGACAAGAGCCAAGAAACGATGGGAAAATACGGGTGTTCCTGTTACTTGTGTGTACGTATTTGTGTCCCAGGGCCCCTTCGAGGAGGGGAGGTCGAGGGCGGCGAGGGCGGGGGGAGGGCTCTGCGCGTGACGGGGCCTGGGTGCGGGCCCTGCCGCGAGCTGCTGGCCCGCCGTGGCAATCTGAGCGGTCGCGGAGGGAGGGAGGGGAGGAGGGAGGAGGAGTGAGGATGGACGACAGGGGAGGATGCAGGTGCTCGGAGGGAAGGAAAGACGGATGTGAGGTCGAGGTAGGGCGAGGGAGGGAGGGATGCAGAGGACCTTCCTTGAAGCGGCTGGGAGTCTGCCCTGGATGGGCACCAGCGAAACCAGTCAGGAGGGGAAAGGAGGCACATTCGGCGTCCACTGCCCATCTGGAGAGGGCGGCCCAGCCTAGAGGAGACACGGACTGAAACCCGCGCAAAACTGATGCCGCTCCTCTCTAGCATGGCTGAAGCCAGTGACACGCCCCACCGCAGCCCCCCAGCCGGCTCCAGGATCACCCCGCGCCTCTCCGAGCCCAGACATCGGGCCGCTTTAATTCTTCTGGTGCGCGGGCCCCAGGGAGGAGGAGGAGGACGAGGAGGAGGAGGAGGAGGAGGAGGAGGAGGAGGAGGAGGAGGGGGACGAGGAGGAGGAGGAGGAGGAGGGGTCCCGAGGCCCGGCGAGGGCCCGCGGAGGCCGAAGATAACCACATTCCCGCCGCCCAAATACTGTTGGGAGCGTCGGGCCTCTGGGAGGGCCCTCCCCGCCGCTCGGACATCCATTCCATGTGCTTTTTTCGGCTTCGCGCGTGGTTTTCTCGCAGAGTGATCCAGGATGCTCCTCAATTATCCCCGCCTAGAAAAAAACACGCATCCGAGCGATACCAAGGGTCCGCTCTGCCCTTTTCTCGCGCGTGGTCGCGGCCTCGCGGATCGAGCGCGGGCCGCGGCCCCACGGCGGCCGCCTCCGCGGCGCCCCCTCACAGCTGGCGGGAGGGGCGACCGGTGCGGCCCACGCGCGCGGGAGACCCAGCGCGCCGGGCGTCGAGGAAAGAAGCACGGCGACTACCGTTTCTGTTGTGCTGTGTGTGTGTGTGTGTGTCTGAGTGTGTCTGAGTGTGTGTGTGTGTGTGTGTGCGGCCGCGTCCTCCTCCTCCTCCTCTCCATCTCGCGTGGTGGCGCAATTCGCTCTCACGGCACCCCCGTTTAGGCCTTTCCGCTGGGGCAGAGGACCCCTGCCTCGCCGACGACGCAAGAAGTGTGTGTGTGTGTGTGTGTGTGTGTGTGTGTGTGTGTGTGTGTGTGTGTGTGTGTGTGTGTGGGGGTGTGGGGGGGTGTGCGTGTGCCCCAAACTTCGTTCTTGTCTGTCGCTTGTTTTGTCGACTTCGGCGCCGGGGGGGCGCTGCGATCCCCGGGACCGCCAGAGCAGGGCCCGCGGCTGGAAAGTGGCCTCGGGGACGGGGTCGAGAGCTCCGAGGCCCGCCTCGCGAACAAAGGCGGACGTCAGAAAGGCCGGGGAGCTGGCGCTCAACCGCGCACCTCCTGCCACTTCCGAACCGCGGCCGCTCTGATGCGCTCCTCGATCTCGTCGGGCAGTGGCGGCGCTCTCAACAATCCCATCTTGTAGGCCAGGATTGTCTTGGGCACCCGCTTCTTCAGCATGAACCACGCCAGCGCGCCCTTCCTCACGCACCGGAGCAGCGCCTGCTGCACGTCCTCCGATGCCTGGGCCCGCTCCCAATACTCGCGAAGGTTCGGGTGCTTCGCGAAGACCACCTCGAACATGGCGGGTGTCGCGACGAGGAATGTCCGAAGGATGGGCAAGAAGCAGGCGTCGGCAGTGCACAGCTGGTCGCCGAAGAGGAAGCCAGAGCTTGACCCCAGAAGGGCGCTGGCCGCCGCGAGCACCCCGTCGAGTCGAGCCCGGTTGGTCTGCATCTCTTTCTCCTTGGCCTCTGGCAGGGCTCGACCTAAACAGTGATTTTCGTTTTCGCTATGTATTCGTTTTTGCTCGTTTTGTCTCAAATCCGTCTTTGCTGCAAAACGACGTCGAAACGAAAACGGCCCACGAAATCGCCAAAACACCGTTTATGTCCACCCCTGGCCTCTGGCGTGGCGCCCCCCCCAGTGACCCGGTTCATGGTCATGATCCCCGCTATCTTGTTGACGTACGCGCTCACCAGAACCTGCTCGTCTTCTGGCTTCTCTCTCAGCGTCTGGCCCAGGTAGTACCGCAGATACAGCAGGCGTATGCCATTGGCCATATCGGAGCTCTGCGCGCCCATGTGTCCGTACGTGAACACGTACTCGTCCCAGCTCCTCGCGAGGTCCACGAACGCCCACATCTCCGCCGCTCGCCCGGACGCTTGCACCTCGCGGTCGCCCGGGCCAGGGTAGTTGTGAAAGAGGTATCTGACGATCTCGTGCGACTCGGTGATTACTTTGTCGTCAATCTCCAGAGTTGGCACTGCCATGGTGTCTGGATTTAGCCGGGCGTACTCCAGCGTGTAGTTGTCGCGCATGTGGAGAACAAATCCGCTGACTCGTTGGAGTTTGAAGGAGTGCGATGCTCCCCCCCCGGCACCCCCCACGACCGGGTCCAAAATTGCGCGGGGGCCTGCCCACGCTGACCAGAGCCGGGCTCACCCAGGCGGGGCTCACCCAGGGCTCTTTTGGGCCTGCTGGGCCTCGCAAGTGGCCTCCAAGACTGCCCAAGAGACCTCCACGACGGCCAAGACTCAGTACAGCTGAGGATGGCCTCCAAGACGGCCCAAGGGGCCCATCGCCCAAAGACGGCCCAAAAGGTTTCCCAAACTGCTCAAGAGGCTCCCGAAGAGTCTCCCAAGAGGCTTCGAGAGGGCCTCCAAAGGCACCTAAGACGTCTCAAGAAAGCCCCGAAGAGCCTTTAAGAAGTCCCCAAGGGGCTTCCAAGCGGCCCCAAGAGGTCCCTAGGAGGCCTCAGGAGTTTCATAAGGCCAGGCCCCAAGAGGCCCCGGGAGCCCCCTAGACGCCCTCAAGAAGCCACGAGGGGCTCCCAAAAGGCCGCCAATTGGTCCTCGAGAGGCCTCCCGGTCGCCCGAATCGGGCCCGAAGCGGCCCCATCACAGCTCGGACACGAACAGCAAACAACGTTGACATAGGCAGCTCCTGGTCGCCCTCCGAGGCCCCCAATCGGCCCTATCAGAAGCCGAATGCGTGCCCGATAGAGCGTGCCATAGTTTACCCAGAAAAGGAATGCCTGAATCAGCATGCAAGAAAGGAGGGAGGGAGGGATGAATATCATAGAGGATCAGAGGGAGAAGAGGGAAGGAAAAGGACGAAGGAGGAAAGACACGACGGGAGGACTAGCGGCGGAGCATGAGCTCGAGACTGCTGCCCCTGTGGGGTCTCTACACGTGTGATATTCCCTCCCCTCAGAGTCCCACCACTAGACCCAAATTGTCCATTTGAGGAAATGGCCAAGACCCGCGTAACCGCTTCCTTGCCCGGTTCCCCGCCACCCACTCCCTTTTCCTGCGTCTTTTCAATCCCCAGAACCCTAAGACCCACGCGGGTGCCCACCGACGATCAGAGAAGACCCATTATAACACCGAAATGGAACGGGTCGGCGGATGCGGAGACAGGTGTAAGCCTGTCGAATCTGTCGACGGCGACTGCTCCCTTCTCGGAGAGCTGCATGGCCATCTTGGCCTTTCCAGCGTTGAAGGAGACTGGAAACAGGTAGAGGACAGGAACCGGGACAGGCGCCGCCGCCGTGCGAATGCCCCCCATGGCCAGCAGCTTGGCAGGCCCCGAGTCCTCGGCCATGGGCGTTTGTGAGGCTGTCGTCGCGGGCGGCCAGGCCAGCCAAATCTCAGAGCTTGGAGCTGCGACGGCCTGGGCCAAACTGCGCACAAAGCCGTTTCTCGGACGCCCCCCGAGCATCACCCTGACACGCGTTGCCGAGCCGCGCCCAGCCGTCGCGACGAGGACTCCCCGAAGGCCCAGAAAACAAGGAGGGAGGGAGAAGGAGGAGGAGGCGGTGGAGGAAGAGGAGGAGGAGGAAGAGAAGGAGGAGGTTCGACGCCCGTGAAGGGAGGAGTCAGGAGAGAGAGAGGGAACATGGGAGGGGGAGGAGGGGGAGGAGGGGGAGGAGGAGGAGGAGGAGGAGGAGGAGGAGGAGGAGGACTGGACTAGACTGGACTGGACTTCCACCTGAAGTGCCGATGTCTCCTCAGAAGTCTCAAGTATCTCTGGGATGCACATCAAGCACGCGGGTTATGAGGGACTTGAATAATTGTCCCGACTCGTAAACCCATGGCAAAGCGAGTCTGGACAGGGCGCTTGCGCAGCTGGAAGGCCGCGAGGCACAAGGCGGCGCCTGCGGAATCGTCGCGACTCCAGGTCCGCCCGAACGGACCCCGACGTACAGTCGGACCTACGACACAATAACATCCTTCAAGAACACGAGACCCTCCGACAGCCAAAACGCGCAGAGCCTCCAAGGGTCCACCTTCCAGGGTGCACGAGAACATCCAGCAAAAACGAAGAACATCAGGGTACCCTCCCCGAACAGACCTCGATCTTATACCTCGGTCCGACTGTATGGGGAGCTCACGGGGAGCAATCTCGAACTGCCTGTTTGCCATGCCAAATTCGAACTCATTCCAGCCCCCCCCGAGGACAGGCGGGAACAACGGGGTGAGGGGAAAGGCCACGCAGCCAGAAGACACAGGAGAGCAGGGAAGGATGAGGAGGAAGAGGAAAAGGATGAGGGTGGATCCCTCCTCCTCCTTCTTCTCCACTTCCTCCTCCCTCCCCTTGGATTGTGAGGGAGGTCAGCTGTGGATAAATGTGACCATGGACAACTTGCGGTCCGCGCACGCCCACCTGGACACCATCTCCACGGCTCCGCGACTCATTCGCATCCACGGCTCCTGCTCCTCCGATTGGGCTCGATGGTGCCGCGCAGAACGATCACCGACTCGAGCAATCCGCGAAACACGGCAACGATGCCTCACTATTGGAGGTCTCCCAAATGGGGGTCCGAATAGATGGGGTCGGAGGATCGCTCCGCACCGGCGATGACGCCGATGCATCGGCGACGTAAGAGTGAAACATTTGGCCCCACATCGAGCCGCATCGCCGATGCATCGGCGATGCGACGCGATCCTGCGACGATGCTCCGACCCCATCTACTTCGACCACATTTGGGAGGCTTTGAACTACACTTAAGAATGCTATCTCAACACTCGTGTCCCTCGCCATCTACCTCCCTTGTGAACGTTTTCTTATTCGGCGTTTCGCGATTGGGCGGAACGGGGGGGAGACCTCTGCTTAGTGCGACTATTTGCAACAGTGCGTCCTATGTGGGAGACTCCACCTGCTCGAAACAGGCACCCAAAACAGCCAAGGTCTACTCCAGGGAAGGTGGGGGGAGGGGGCGCGAGGGCCCGAGCCGATCGGCAAACCAGTGAATAAGAAGACGATCACCTTCCCATCCCAAGCGCGCAACGAACGTGCTGCTTTCGCGCGCGACTCCGGGAAACCTCCCGCCTCGAACGTGGTCCAGGAAACAACCCTGCGGAAGCGAAGTGCGCCGCCGAGAGTGGTCGGGCCGGAAGGCCTTGCCACAACATGCGCGAGGGGAGGGGAAAGAGGAGAGGAGGAGGAGGAGGAGGAGGAGAAGGAGGAGGAGGAGGAGGAGGAGGAACAGGAACAGGAACAGGAACAGGAACAGGAGGAGGAGGAGGAGGAGGAGGAGGAGGAGGAGGAGGAGGAGGAGGAGGAGGAGGAGGAGGAGGAGGAGGAGGAGGAGGAGGAGGAGAGGAGGAGGAGGAGGAGGAGGACCTTGTACACCTACGCTCATGCTGGACCCGCCGAAGAATGCTGTAGACGCCTTCCTGGCTAAACCATGAAAATGCCTAAACCAGGAAGGTGTCTAACCGGCCTGGCCGGAACCTTTGCTGGTGTAGAATTAGCGACCTCCGAAAGGAGAAAGACGAGGTGTGCTCACAACTTCGAGCGCGCGTCTGGCAGGTCCGGGAACTTGGGCGTCTGCTTCATCATCAGGCCCGCGGCCGCCAGCTTGACGTCGCCACCCTGAAGCATGGCCATATTCCACGTGAGAGCGAAGCGGAGACTGTCCTCGACCGTGTGGTCGCGGGAGAAGTTGAGCAGCTCCTTCACCCCGAGCATCACCACAGGGCTCTTCGCTGCGAGCTGCGAGGCCAAAGCCACGCCCTCCTCCATCATCTGCGCCTTGTCTGCCAACAGCCGCGACACCAGGCCGTGCTGCGCGGCCTCCTGAGCCGACAGCCGCCTACCTGACATGACGAGCTCGCGCACCAAGCTCTGATTGCCCACGATCTTCGGCAGCCTCTGCAGCCCACCGATGTCCGCCGCCAGGCCCGCGTCCACCTCCGCGGCGACGAAAAAGGCGTCGGCGGTGCAGAATCGCACGTCGCACGCCGAGATCATCTCCAGTCCCGCGCCGACCACGGCGCCGTGCATGCAGGCGATCACTGGCCTCCCGCACTCCTCCAGCAGGCTGAGCGCCCGCTGCCACGAGACGCCCAGCCTGCGGATGGACAGGGCCGTGTGCGCCACGTCCTGCCCGCTGCTCCCGAGGGGCAGGCCCCCGTCGGTCAGGTCCAAGCCCGCCGAGAAGCCGCGCCCGGCGCCGTGGAGGACCACCGCACGGGTCTCCGAGTCCCGCTGCACCGCCTCGAAGCAGGCCGAGACCTCCTCGAAGAGCAGCGAGCTCATGGCGTTCAGCTTCTCCGGCCGGTGCAGCTCCACGCCGAGCACGCGGGGGGCGAGCGTGCTCACCCGCAGCGTCTCGAACGCGGGGTAGTCGGCCATCCCTGCGAGGGCACCCCCAAGGTCACGAGCGTGGCGAACAGAAACTGCTGTGATGACGATGACGATGACGATGATGACTATGACGATGGCGACGACGACAACAACAACGACAACGACGACGATGATGGTGATGATGAGGATGACGGTGATGATGGTGATGATGGTGATGATGGTGATGATGAGGATGATGAGGATGATGATGATGATGATGAGGATGATGAGGACGAGGACGATGATGGTGGTGGTGATGATGAGGATGACGATGTTGATGATGAGGATGATGAAGATGCTGCGGATGATGAGGATGATGGTGATGATGATGCAGAACATGCTGTTGTTGTGGATCATGTGATGATAATGCTAATGACAGAAATTGAGATCTTGAGGATCATGATCGACAAGGAGGATGATGAGCAACAGAAGCAGGAGGAGCAAGAGAAGGAGCATGAGAAGAGGGAGAAGACATGAGAAGGAAGAGGAGAAGGGAAGGCCGAGGGCGCAGAGGGAAGCAGGGCCAGGGGTCAGGAGTGCCAGCAGGAAGAGAACAGTGACACAGCCACCAGTAGCAGCACTGGCAGGAGCAGGAGGGGCAAGAGGACGTGCAGTAGCATCAGCGAGACGCGGAGCAGGCTGCCGCGCTGGCAGCAGGTCCACGTGCGGGTGCCTGGTATGCCGGACGAGCGGCGGGCTTCTGGCAACCTTTCGGTCAGCGGCGGCGCGCCTCGCTGGCGTCGGCGCGGTCGGGGGCGGGAGCGCGCTCACGGCAGCGGTCCCTGGCAACTCCGTGGCGTACGGGGAGGAGGGCGGGCCACCTGGTCCGAGCTGCACGGCCAACCGCTGCTCAAGGACCTCGCTCAGAAGCCAGACGACCTCATCGAGCGAGCATCCCAGGGACTCAGAGGGAGCGCCAAAGGGGGGGCTAAGGGACGAGGGCCCCACGAGGACGCACGGCGCATGGGCGATTTCTCATCCGTTTCACCAGCAACCGGACCTACTGCCCGTATGAACCACGGCGTGCTGCGAATTCATCCTTGCGAACACTCACCCGCAGCCGCTGGCAACGTTGCTGTACCTCTTCGCCCTGCTCCCCGTCATTCCAGTAGAGCTGAGGAGATAGTTCGGTTTCGCGGGGGCCCCATTCGTCCTTGTTCTCGGCAGCTCTGGGTGGCGTCCTGGAACATGGAGTGGCTACACGGGCGCAAAGCAGTAGAGTTGGAATAGCACATGGTTCAACTCAACAGCGATATTCTGTGTATCCAAAAGGAGCACAAGGCTGGGTACAACTATCATCTCTCGGAGGGCGGCTTTCTCAACATCTGCTCCAGCATCGGCACCGACCAAGAGACGGTCTGACTGGGTCTCATTGTCGCCCCTCGTCTCCGCCACAGCGTGGTTGGCTTCCGACGGGAGACAACCCGCATGGCGTACCTGAAACTACGAGTCGTCGGCGGCAAGATGGTGGTCTGCAGCGCCTACGCCCCACACAACGGCAAAGGCTTTTGAAGACCAGCGGTCCTTTATGACAGTGACCCCAATACATTCCTGTCTGGTGTATCCTCTCACGGTCCGCTACTGGTTCTGGGTGACTTCAATGCTCGGCTTCACCGTCGCTTCCCTCACGAAGAGGAGGGCATCATGGGGCCTTACGTGTTTGGCACTCCAGCGGCTGAATACAATTCGTCCTCCAATCGGAGCCTGCTTGCAGAGCTGTGCACCAAGCACAGACTTCTCATCGGAAACGCGTGTTTCGATCAACCGGCAGACCAGCAGACCACATGCTATAGCGTTGGGAGGAGGCCGTCTGCTATCCCCACGCCTGAGAATTTCGGACATATTGACTCCTTGATGGTATCGCGGGAATGGCTGGGCAGTTTGCCATTCTTGACGAATGACCAGCGGCGCGCGTTGGCCTCGCACGATTGTCTGGTATATGCAGATATCAGCGCGGTTGTCCCAAAGCCGTCGCGGTCGCCATTGGCCCCCCAGCACGGCCTGCGCGCCCTCCGCCTTCCTAGAACATCCAACCTGTTCGCCGCTACATTCGCCGACCACGCAGAGGAGCTGGAAAGCAGCATGCTGGCGTCAACGGCCTCCGATGTCGAAGCCATAATGAAGGATTGTTGTTCTGCAGCTGCAGCCTTGATCCTCACCCTGCCGACGGTGCCGCGGAGGCTATGAGTCCCTGACCGCGCTATGGACACCATCGTGAAACGCA